GTTTACAGCGCAAATTCATTTTCATACAACAACTCATACACATGTCTTTCATGACATTGATTGCAATCCCCATAATGTAACAGTCTCTTCCCACTTCTTCCCAGTGGTTGCCTTTTCCCTGTGTCCTTTTTCTCTATGCATTCCAGCCTTCAGCTATCTCACTGTGCAAATATGCACATATCTGTTTAATAACTGCCCAGAGAAGTTGAGCTTTAAAATAAAATGTTCTTAAGTTTCCCTATAACAAGCAGAAACATGAATCATTACTTTCACTGACTTTAAGTAGTGCCAGATAAACTTGTCAATAATACAGTTTATGAAATAATCATAGCATGTAAGTATTTAAATTCTAAGAACTTTTGCCATGAGGCTGTAGAGAAACCAGCTGTTTTCATTCCTTTTCTCTCCTACTTGGCTCTCTGCCTCCATATCCACCCTTTACATATAGACACACTCATTCACTCACTCAGGTGTGCACTATGAAGAGGGATAAAAGACAGACTTGAGGCAGAAAATAACCACTAAAGAGCTCCCACAAGTGACTGTGGAAAAGTGGTCACATTCATTACCCTGCTGGTGTGAGAACTACCAAAATTATTACTACTAGTGTGTGGAGACCAGCTTATTTATGATGACAAATGCAGCAACAATTTGTACTGAGGTATGTTAACTTGTTACGGACAATATAGTATTTTATATCATTTAGTGATAGCATCAATATATTTTCAGAAGAAAAACGCTATCAACAAAGCAGTTTTTAGAGTTAGATTATTGTAGCATTTAGTAGACTCTCAGAAAATGGTAGATAGATGCATACATGGCTGGATAGATGGATAGGTAAATCCTTTTTTAGAAAGACTAGCCTGGAGGATAGACTATAGTGGAGAGGCTTGGAGGCAGATAGATCAGTTGGGACTAACCAGTTAAAGTGATAAAGAACATTTTTCTGTCTTAACAATCGAAAGAGTTTGCTTTTACGATTGCCTACTGCTGCTTAGTTCACTCTTGGTCTTGTGATCATCAAAGAATAACAAAAAATTATCCAGTTAACAGGCACTGGTGTCTGTGTGACTCTTCCCTAATCTGTCCCCACCCACTTCCTCACGTGCTCTCTGTGTTCCTTAGGTTTTATTTGAAGGCAAAAGGTATTCTTAGTGCTTTGTAATGGAGAGTTTTAGTCTGTGTATCCAGAGAGTGTCAGCATTCTTTTCACCTCCCACTTCTAGCACCCACCCTTAGAAGGGTATTATTTGTCTGTTCCTGAATTCTTAGAGAAGGTGGTTAAGGAAAATTCCATTGTCTTTGTTCTCTGTTGTATTCTGTCTTTTGGCTTTGTAGCTGTTAGCTGATAAAAGAATAAAAGCAGACACATTTACCGCATGAAATAATGTATGAGAAAAAACCTTTGATAAATTTAAAATATATTTACTAGGATTTCAGAAATCATTGTAAATCTAGTTCATCGTGGACATTTTTGCAACAGAATGCAATTATATAGAATTTCATAATAGAGCTACATAAAAGCTACAGGATCCTGAGGTGCTTTAGATTTATCAAAGATTAAACCGTATGCAGCATTTTCATAGCATTGTCACATTTTATCATTTCTAATTCCTTCTTGTTGTGTGCTATCAAATCAATTCCAATCATAGTGACCATATAGGACAGAGTAGAACTACCCCATAGTTTCCTAGTCACATAGAGTTTCCTAAGCCCCATAGTTTCCTAGTCACATAGGGTTTCCTAAGTTGTAGTTTTTACCAATGAGGAGTTTTGGTGGCACAGTGGTTAAGTGCTTGGCTGCTAACCCAAAAGTCAGTGGTTTGAACCCACCAAGCCACCAACAGGAGAAAGATGTGGCAGTCTTCTTCCATAAAGATTACAACCTTGGAGACCCTATGGTGTAGTTCTACTCTGTCCTATGGGGTCTCTATAAGTTGGAATCAATTTGACAGAAACATGTTTTTATTATTATTATCTTTACTGGACCAGATAATTAGGTCTTTTCTTAACTTCCTTTCTAATTCTTTGAAAGTTCTTAATTCATGTATTTGTATATGTGTCACAGGCTGAGTTTCCTAAGGAAGCAAACTCTCAGGTTTATATGTAAAAGGTTTTTTGGAGACTGTTTACAGGGTGGCACCTGAGGGCAAGACTGGGTAGAGGAAGAAGTTGGACTGTGTTATATCCAACCATATAGAGCTCTCGGGATGGGATTCAGAGTTGCTTCAACATGGGTGAGAAGGCCTAGTGATCTATTCCTGCATAACAAATTACCCCTAAACCTAGCAGCTTAAAACAACAAACATTTATTATCTCAAAGATCTTGTGGATTAAGAATACAGACCATCTTAGCTGGATACCTCCAGCTCAGGATTTCTCACAGGTGGTAAATCATGATGTTGATTGGGGTAGCAGTCACTTCAAAGGCCAAGTGGGGCAATCCACTTCCAAACTACTCACATGGTTGTTGGGAAACTTCAGAATGTCCACCTCCAAGCTCATTGATGTGGCTGTGGACCCATCTCTAGCCCCACTGACTGTTGGCGAGAGATACCAGTTTGTTTCCACATGAACCTCTCTAGAGGACAGTCCACACAACATGACAATTGGCCCTCCTTAGAGCAAGCAAGCAAGGAAATGAGAGTGCTCACCATAGTATTTTTTAATCTAATATTAGAAGGTACATCCCATCACATTTATTCTGTTTGTCAGAAGCAAGTGACTGGGTCCAGCGCACATTCAAGGGGAGGGGATTACACAAAGGCAAGAAGTCCCGAGGTAGGGCCTCTGGCAGCCATCTTAGAGGCTGTTTAGCAACCCCATAGTAACCAGTCACTGGATTCAGGCTGCCCTGAGAAGGGGGCCTGACATTGGATGGAGCCGCTTTTTTCAGCTGAGGCAGTTCCCAAAGAGGGCCTACAGCTGAAGCCTGTGGGCTGTCTGTGTCTCAGCAGTGATAGGCCACAGTCCTCAGCTGTGGACATATGCCCTTCAGTCCTAAAGGGGATCTAGGGGCTACTGAAGAACATTTGCTTCCAACCCATATAACACTTAGTTAACAAGAACAGTTAATAAGGCAGAATTTCTCGATCTTACATTTCAAATTGTGCAATATGTAGTATTTCCTTATGTGATTTTAAAGGAGGTATTATATTGTACATAGTATCAAAATCTTTCCCTTTTTGATATAGTTTAGTTCAAATATTTCCTCAAGCTCCATAAAGTAAAATGCTTTTTCAGCTTGTTATTGTTAAAAAACATTTTAAGTTACTCTTCTCTTTATTTTTAGGCAAAGAAGAACAAATCCCTGACTTTGTCACTTTTCTTTATCAAATAACCAGAGGGATTGCAGCAAGGAGTTATGGACTCAATGTGGCTAAACTAGCAGATGTTCCCGGAGAAATTTTAAAGACCGCAGCTCATAAATCAAAAGATCTTGAAGGATTAGTAAATATGAAAAGGTCAGAACAATTGTGTTTCATTTTTTGGTTTATAATGTAATCTTCCAGTGGTTCAAGGATGGGGATTGTCTTGTAAATGAACATCAGATACAATGTAAGTGAATGTCAGAGGTACCCAGGCAAATACTGAGACATCTAATTGTGATGAAATGAAAACAGCTCTTGGCAAAGTTCGTGTGAATTTAATCCATTTTCCCTGTTCAGATCTTTATCTGATAAATTGCTAAATTGGTTTTTTTTTTAGTCTGAAGAATAAGTTAATTTCTTAATGCATGTCAAAACATAGTTGCTTTAAACATTAAATTACACAGAAAGTTGTTGAAATTTTACCTGAGGTAGATACACTCCTTGGAGAGAACAATGATGGGAGAAAGAAGGGCTGTGTATGCACAGGGAGACAGCTCATGGGGCAGGAGTCCATGGAGGGATGGACACAGGGAAGAGGTAACTATGGGGAGGAAGTGGGAGAGGAGCTGTTGCATTGTGGTAAACTGTGGTCAATGTCATGAGATAAAGTGTATGTGAACTGCTGTATGGGAAGTGAATTTGCTCTGTAAACTTTCACCCAAATCATAATTAAAAAAAAAAAAAAAAAAGTTGTCCAAAGAAACATCAGTGTTTAGAACCCATAGAGTACTTGTCCTTATATGCTGCATTCAGAGAGTCAAAGATTACATTCAGAAATGAAGTATTCTGTGAGGACATAAATGAAAATAATAGTATTACATACTATATAATAATAGTATCCATATATTTTGTTGACTGGAACAAATTTTTCATTCTAAACTGGATTCTTTTTGTCACCTATAATATTTGTATAAATGCTTTCCATTTTTCATCCTTAATATCTAGTCAATGTGTAGTCAGAATGTAAACTAATCTTTTCTCTCTTTTTTTAATTGTGCTTTGGGTACAGATGTACAGAGCAGAATTTGTTTTACATTCAACAGTTCATGTACATTTGGTTTCACTCCCCAATTACCACCCCCAACCCTAACCTACTCTCCTCCTCTCCCTTTCCAGTGACCCCCCCATCCCTATGTCCTTCTTAGTTATGCATTCCTATCTGTCTAGCTTTTCCTCCGTGTGAATGTTGCCCCTCTAGTTCTCCATGGCCAATTGCTCCCAGGGATGTATCTCTATAGAATAGCTGGGTACATCGCCCAGGGTTGCGTGGTCTGCAGGTAAGTCTTACTGCTGTTGGGCTGAGAGCCAGTCCATGGGAGTGAGTTTTACCCCAGGCCATTGTCTTGGGGGTCCCACCAGTCTTCATCTGACCAGTAATTCTGGTTATTATTGTGTTTTTGAATTTTGTTTCACATTTCTCCTCCCACTCTATCCAGGATCTCCAGTTTTGATCCCTTCCCAAGTGGCTGTCATTGGTAGCTGGGCACCATCTGGTTCTTCTGGTCTTGAGGTCCATCATGTCCTTGGGCTGATTGTTTCCAAATGTCCTTGGTTTTCTTTACTCTTCTTCACTTCCAACGATAGGAGACCATTAGCTGCATCTTAGATGGCCACTCAAAAGCTTTTAAGACCCCAATTGCTATTCACCAAAGTAGGTTGTAGAACAAGATTTTTATGTATTATGTTGTGCCAATTGAGCCTGGTGTCCCCAAATACGATGGTCCTAAGTTAGCAGATCTGGTGGATCTCTCTCCCAAGTTATCTGGCTGTCTCTGAGGGGTTGCTCTATGTCTGTCTTCTGTTGCTTCTGTAATGATTGTGGTTATTTTGTGTCATTAGTATTTGTGCAAGATTATCCTCAGCTGAATCTATCATTGGTCTAGAGTATATTCCTGTTCACTGACCCCCATCTGCTCTTCTCAGCTGTCTATGTGTTTATCTGTAGCCTGGTGTTTGGTGTTAGTGGTAATGCAGTATTGTGAATATACTGGTATTAGCTTCTGTCATCTGTATCTTATGTGTACAATTTGGTGTCCTCTCTTTCTCCAGTGTTATCATGTTGGTCACTGACTCATTCCATACCATCCCTCCCCTTACCCAACTCAGCATGTGGCCCCCAACTAGTCCCAAATTTTCATCACCCCTTCCCTCCTATTCCCAGTAACCTACAAAGTGAGTTCCCTTCCCTTCCTTGACTTTTTACAGTAACGGCTCATTCAATATTTGTCCTTCTGCAATTGACTTATTTCACTCACTATAATGTCCTCCAGGTTCATCCACGTTGTGAGATGATTCACATATTCTTCATTGTTCTTTAATGTGGCATATTTCATTGTGTGAATGTACCATAATTTGGTTATCCATTCATCTGTTGATGGGCATTTAGCTTGTTTCCATCTCTTCGTTATAGTTATTTGTGTTGCGATGAACATGAGTGTGCATATGACTGTTTGTGTCCTGTCTTTCACCTCTTTGGGATATATTCCTAGTAATGGAATTGCTGGGTCAAATGGTATTTCTGTTTTTAGTTTTTTAAGGAAATGCCATACCATTTGCCACAATGGTTGTACCATTTTACAGTCCCACCAACAGTGTATGAGTTCCAATCTCTCCACAGCCTCGCCAGCATTTGTTATTTTCTGTCCTGTTGAACTTTGCTGTTATTGCTGGGGTGAGATGGTACCTCATCATTGTTTTGATTTGCATCTCTCTTAATGGCTAAGGATTGTGAGCAATTCCTCATGTGTTTGTTGGCCGCCAGCATATCATCTTTAGTGAAGTGTGTCTGTTCATGTCTCTTGCCCATTTTTGAATTGGATTGTTTGTCTTTTTCACTTTGATGTGTTGAAATTTTCTGTGTATTTAGGAGATAAGTCCTTTGTCAGATATGTCATAGGTAAATATTTTCTCCCAATCTGTAGGTTCCCCTTTTACCCTTTGATGAAGTCTTTCAATGTACATAAAAATTTAATTTTTAAAAGGTCCCAGCCATCTAGCTTCTTTTCCACCTCCTGTGCATTCTAGGTTATACTTGATAGTCTATTTATGTCATTAATTAGGGCCCCTAGATTTTCCCCTATTTTATCTTTGATGACTTTTAGTTTTTGGGTAGCATAGTGGCTAAAGCACTTGACTGCTAACCAGAAGGCTGGCGGTTCAAACCCACCAGCCACTCCTCGGAAGGAAGGTTGGGCAATCCTACTTCCATAGTGATACTGCCTCAGAAACCCAAGGAGGGGTCACTATGAGTCGGGGTCGACTCGACGGCACATAACAACAACAACAACAACAAACTAATCTTAATATAAGATTGAGAGATGCTTCAGAAGGATGATAATTATAGGTGAATAATACATTAATATTAAATTATAGCCTTTTGTTTCCCAAATATAAAATTGTATTACAAAACTACATCCCACTTTCAAACAGTCCCTCCCTATCTGGAGAGCCTGACCCACCTGGGGCAGGACATTGCTGGCCTGGTTATAATCATGTGATAATGAGTGAACTATCGATCAAATAGAATATCTTGATTGGACATCAGTAGTGCTAGGTTATACTATAACAATTTTATTTAATTCTTGAAATCACTACCAAAAACCTGTTGTCATCAAGTCAATTCTGACTCATACTGACCCTACAGGACAGAGCAGAACTGCCCCATAGGGTTTCCAAGGTTGTAAATCTTTACGGAAGTGGACTGTCACATCTTTCTCCCCCCATAGAGTGTCTGGTAGGTTCAAACCACTGACCTTTCAGTTAGCAGCCAAGTGCTTAACACTGTACCACCAAGTCTCTTCCTTTAAATACTGAAAGATTAATACCAGTTCTACTCTGTCATATAGGCTGCTATGAGTCTGAATTGACTAAAGGGCACACTGCAACAATGGTATTAGATAAAGAAACAATTGCTAACTTGTATGTATACTGAATGCAGTTGTGTGACCCACTTCTTATTCTCCATCTCCTTCCTCTTATGATTCTGCCTTGTGTACCTCACAATATATACCTTGCGATATATATGGTGGGTGACCAAGTACAAAGTACTAGAGTACTAGAAAAAACAGGGTAGCTTCCCTTATCGATAGTCTCTTCTGGATCGTTTCTACAATGTCAAATCAGGAGTCAAAGTTGTTTCATCATTACAAATAAGAGTGACAACCTGTTTCTAGTTCTTTCAAGTTAGAGTAATACAATTTTTCCAGAAAGAAAAGTAGTTAGGAGCATTTAAAAACAAACTTGCTGTTGCTGTGTGCCATCGAGTTGATTCTGACTCATAGTGACCCTGTATGACAAGGTAGAACTGCACCATAGCGTTTCCTAGGCTGTAATCTTCATGGGAGCAGATCGACGGGTCTTTTCTTCTGTGGAGTGGCTGGTACCTTGGAACCACTTACCTTTCAGTTAGCAGCCGAACTTAACCATTGTGCCACTATGGCTCAAAAAAAAAAAAAAAAACCTTACTCCTCTGCAAAGTCTAAAACAAATCTTACCTAATCCTCTTTTGTTGCTATCTTACTATTATTTTTTTTCCCCTGAAACTAGAATAAAACATTACTACAGAGGATATATATGTAAGATGGCAATAAAATACAATAGTTTTATACTTGTTGCTACTGTATAGCCTGTAAAGCAAGAGCAATAATATTCAGATTACTTATAAATATTTTAGGAGCTCTGGTAGCATAGTGCCTAAGGCACTTGACTGCTCACCAGAAGGCTGGCGGTTCAAACCCACCAGCCACTCCTTGGAAGGAAGGTTGGGCAATCCCACTTCCGTAGTGATACTGCCTCGGAAACCCAAGGAGGGGTCGCTATGAGTCGGGGCCGACTCGACGGCAAACAACAACAACAACATAAATATTTTAACTCTTCCGACTAGTATGTGACATTTTGAAATCTATAGTTATTTTGAAAGACAGGAGAATTGCAGAAAGTGGTTTTATTGGGATTGAACATGGTAATTTACTAAACTATATTTGTTATTTTACCTTTTTTACTAAAAATGCAGATCACATTAGTTCCCTTGACCAGATCAAAGAAACCAAATCAAATCTTGTGCCTTCCATGTTGGTTTGTTATAATAGAGAATATTTACTGAAGCCTACCGTGTGCCGTAACAGACCTGATCAGCCATTTGCAGCAACCCAGACAATGTACCTATTCCTGTTCTAGTTGTTTTCCATATATTAACTCACTTAATCCTATGACAACCTTGTAAGGTAGGAACTATTGCTAATTCCAGTGTTATAGTTGGGGAACATGAAGCCAAGCAAGAGTAGGAAACTGACCTAGTGTCACACAGCTTGTTAGGTGGCAGAGCAGTAATTGGAACTCAGATATTTGGGTGCCAGACCCTGAATACTTCACTGAGTTGCTCTTCTGAAGAAAAAAGTAGGTTGATGTCATGTGGGCATTTTACTCTTTCCTTAACTGGGTTTATTTGAGTAAATCAGTATTTTTCATCCTGCTAGCATGCAGTAGGAATGCTTTTGTCATTATGTGCACAGTCAGCCTCTGTATGAGTTAGAAGATGGAAGAAGCACTATTCGCCCTCCCTGGAGACAGCCATAGTGGTGACCAGCAACTTTGAACCCTTGATTCTAGCAGCAGCACTGCAAACTTACGTTCACCAGAAAGGTGATGCTGACAGACTCCCCAACGTCAGTGTCCTTTCTGGTATTCTAATGTCATAAGCATTTTCATATCTTTCAGTGAGATGTATTGTCCCTCAACAATTTCATTTATAAAATATGTATTTTGCTTTCTCTCCAGGAACAGGATAAAATATTTTGCAAAATTATGGACAATAAATGATGTGGAAGACCTCAAAAAGTGGACAGATGAGTTTGCAATAGAAGAAATTACAGACTTCTCTTCCTGATTAAAATGAAGACTAAGTTTTTGAACAAAGAGATGGAGGATTAAAAATATCACCTGTACAAAACAACTTTTCAGGGGCCACCTATCCATTGGCCACTAGAATGCCCCCATTAGAATATTGCCATTGGGAATAGGGAGGCCTTTTGTGTAGAAAGCCTTTTTCAGGTTCCTGTCTTCCTCACTTTTAAAAATATAAACTCTTTCAATGTTAAGACTTCTGCTGTGTAATTAGAGAATTTAATGGACAGTGAGCATCATATAAAATCAAAACCTCCAAGTAAAGCCTTAACTGATACAATCCATGAACTTTTAGAGAATGATGCAAAAAAATTAATTTGTATGATTATTTGTTTCAGTTCACATAATTTGCAACTGAGTAAAATGTCTGGCAAGAAGGTACTCTTTCATTTTAACTAAAATAATTGTATAAAGCCACTATGAACATAAGGATTTTGGATAAGAAACAGAATTATGTTAGAAACTAGAGCACAGAAGGAATAAGGTCATGTGAAATGTGAAATAAGTAATAAATATTGCCACAGTTTTAAGCAGTTGGATGGAATTATTTGTCATTTATTCAGCTAATAAATTGCTAATGAATGTTGTTGTTAGGTTCTGTCAATTTGACTCTGACTCATAGCGACTCCATGTGACAGAGTAGAACTGCCCCAGACACAGTTTTTTTTTTTTTTTTTAGGGTGAAATCTTTCTAGAAGCAGATCACTTGCCCCAGGTCTTTTTGCCGTAGAGCCACTGGATAGGTTCATACCTCCAGTCATTTGGTTACTAGCTGAGCACATAACCATTTGTGCTATCAAACTCCTTAATTATGAATCATTGTTGTTCTTAGATGGTGTCAAGTTGATTCCATCCCATAGTGACCCTGTGTACAACAGAAAAAAACACTGCTCAGTCCTGCACCATCTTCACAGTTGTTGCTATGCCTGAGCCCACTGTTGCAAATAAATGAATATCCACTGACGTTGAGTCGGTTACATCTTATAGTGACCCCTCCTTGGGTTTCCAAGGCAGTATCACTACGGAAATAGATTGCCCAACCTTCCTTCCAAGGAGTGGCTGGTGGGTTTGAACCACCAGCCTTCTGGTTAGCAGTCAAATGCCTTAGGCACTATGCCACCATAGTTCCTTATACACACACACACACACACACACACATTCTTTACACTTTAAAAGAAGAATAAAATGGTATGATTTTGTTTTATATTCCAACAAAATTACAAAGGTAATCCCACTCCTAGGTACACTGCCTAGAAATCTAATAAAAGAGACACAGCCAGACTTATGCATACCTATGCTCATTGCAGCATTATTCAATTAGCAAAAAGATGGAAACAATCTACATGCCCATCTGTTTTGGTTACTGAGTGCCACTCTTAATGGAAATACCACAAATGGGATGGCTTTAACAAACAGGAGTTTATTCTCTTACAGTTTTGGAAGGTAGAAGTCCAAGTTCAAAGTGCCAGGCTCTAGGGGCTTGGTGACAGCCCCTCAGCCTTGGGCTTCAGTTCTGTCCATTGCTTCTGTCCCACTGAAGCTAGATGCTTTTCTTCACTCAGGCAGCTGCTGGCTGCTGAGGCTGACAAACCCGTCAACAAGTGAAAAGGCACAGTTCCAATATTACCAAACCACACGGCAGGCCATTGATTTAAGTATATTGAAAGTCCCAAGATTGGCAGAGCATGGCAGGCTGCTGAACAATGACTCAGCTACATGTAGGATTCATGCCGTAAGCTAGAGACCATTCCCAAAGCTGTTTCTTACATACGGGAAGCAGACCACGTCCCTAAAGCAACTACTTAGCTGCTTGTAGATCCCACCATGGAGTTGATGGCCAGTCTCATCATGGGGAATAACTGCCACCAGCTACCCAGCCACTCAAACAGGCTAAGCCAAGGTGACACACAATCTTAACTACTACACCTCAACAATGGAATACTACACAGCCATAAAGAATAATGATGCATCCTCAAAACATGACATGGATGAACCTAGAGGACATTACGCTGAATAGAATAAGTCAATCCCAATATTGTATAATTGCACTTTTATAAGAAGACTGTTGTTGTTATGTGCCGTTGAGTCAGACCTGACTCATAGCGACCCCTCCTTGGGTTTCTGAAGCAGTATCACTACGGAAGCAGGATTGCCCAACCTTCCTTCCAAGGAGTGGCTAGTGGGTTTGAACCGCCAGCCTTCTGGTGAGTAGTCAAGTGCCTTAGCCACTATGCTACCAGAGCTCCCTTATAAGAAGACTAGATATATATATATATAAACTAATGCTTATTGGTGATTACCAGAGATGGGTGGGGAAACAGGAGTGGGGAAAGCACACTTGAAATAGACACTATTCTTGGTGATGGGAAGTAGCATTGCATGTGGGTGAAGTGCACACAACTCGATCAAAGTAAATGATAACACTAAATGCACAAGAAAAAAGGGACTTTTTTTGGTAACCAAAACCAAAAAATAAACCTACTGCCATCAAGTTGATTCCAGCTCATAGTGACCCCTGTTGGGTTTCAAAGGCTGTAAATCTCCATGGAAGTAGATTGCCTCGTTTTTCTCCTTCATCCCATGGAACAGCTGGTGAGGTTGAACCAATGACCTGATGGTTAGCAGCCAAATTGCCTTATCCACTATGCCACTAGTGCTCCTTTTTTTTTTGTTAAAGGATTTGATAATTTTGCAATAACAACCAAAAAATAAGTCTGTCATTACATAAATATGGACATAAATGTGTATGAGTATGAATGTGTGGGTATATATGCAGAGGTAGATGTATCTATAGGTATATATACATGCAAGTATGTCTGTGCATACATGTAGATCCATATGTATAATAAACCACAAAGGAGATGCAGTTATGGATACTTCTGGTTATTATTATTGGTAGGTGCTATCAAGTTGTCTCTGACTCTTAGCAACCCTATGCACAGCAGAATGAAACACTGCCTCGTCCTGTGCCAGCCTCATGATACTTGCCATACCTGAGTCCATCACTGGAGCCGCTGTGTCAATCCATCTCATTGAGGGCCTTCCCCTTCTTTGTTGACCCTCCACTTTACCAAGCATGATATTCTTGTCCAGGGAATGGTCCCTTCTCACAACATGACCAAATTAGGTGAGACCAAGTCTGGCCATTCTCACTTCCAAGGAGCATTCTGGCTGCACTTCTCCCATGTCAGATTTGTTAGTCCTTTTAGCAGATCATGGTACTCTTGGCATTCTTCTCCAACACCACAACTCAAAAGCATTAATTCTTCAGTCTTTCTTACTCATTGTTCAGCTCTCACATGCATATGAGGCAATTGAAAATACCATGGCGTGGATTAGGCACTCACCTTAGTCTTCAAGGAGACATCTTTGCTCTTCATCACTTGAAAGAGGTCGTTTGCAGCAGATTTGCCCAATGCAATACATCATGTGATGTCTTGACTGCTGCTTCCATTGGCATCGATTGTAGAGTCAAGTAACATGAACTCCTTGACAACTTCAATCTTTTCTCCATTTAT